GATTGTTCATCACTAGGCTCGGTTACAGGTGAAGAACTTAAGTGCTGGCATCGTATTGATTTCATTCAACGGCACTATGAATTAAACTGACATTTGCCAACTGTCTGAGCTGTAACAATGTATGGCGAATTTCACCCTTTGATTTGTGCTGCGTCAAAATACAAATCTAAATGACTTCCATATGCATGTATTGCAAGTATAAATACGACATTGGCTGGTCCATACTCTGAGGTATTGAGTCAAATCATCCGTTTCACAAGCTGCTGGCACAATGCAGCGTATGTTTCTGCGGAACTGCGTAGAAAATTTTTCTAACAGTGGGCTAATAAAACCTGTCCGACGGCAAAAGTTTTTTTTCGTTAACGCTGTCATGAAACGTTTGACAAAAACCCCATAAAAATGATTTTGATTGCTTTTAAAATGAATGGATGACCTGCGTTATTCACTGCCCGTCAGTTTTAATTCGAACATCCGCCATCATCTAAAGCGGAGGCGTTTCGCATCAACCTTATCGCCTCAAAACTCATTACACAATTCGGCAACTTACACGCTGTAATTTGTGGCAAGTGACAAAAACATTTAAATTACCTCCGGTGAGGTTTAATTTACTGAACAACACAGACCAACCAAGTCTCACGTCCATATGTGTTCGCAACACGGAATCACCAGAGGTCCACAATGCCTCAAAAATTGCCCTTAGACGGTATTCTATATTTTTCCTGCAACTATGACTTGCATCCAAATGCCATACGAAAAGGAGAACCAATTCTCGCAATTCTTCCGGAGGTTCTGTTAATCTCGAGAGTATGTTTGAGCAAAATCTCCGTTTTGTGATGCCCGCTGAATTTCGCTGCCTTTTAATGGTTCTACTGTATTGTAGAAGGAACTATTCTTTTCCAAAGACAGATTTTTCTTTGCATCATTCATCCTCCTTGCCGATGTCTGCCATTTTTCGGTTCACACACGGAAATCTCCATTTCTTAATCTTCACATCCACTGAAGTCACCTCTGCCCAACAGAAAATAGAGGCATCCATTACGCTGCCCTGCCATTTAACTTTAATTATGCGTCGAAGTCAACTATGCTATATGCAGTTCAGTTGTTATCATTGCCCCTACGTTACAGCAGCAGCATCTATGCCGAAAAGCAACACCGACCTGACTGAGGTAATGCACAGACGGATTTCTGAGGAAGGGTTTTCTCTCTACTGGACAATTTTCCAAGAACACTCAAGATTATGCTGATGTTTCTATTCAAATCTGGCTGGACAGTGAGTG